TACATAATTTTTCTGAGAGAAAGTAGAAGAAACCCATCTTAGTAACTTAATAGTTTCTGGGATTTGAGAAGAGCCTGGGCAGGGAAGCCCTGATGGTTAACAACTTCCGCAGAAACCTCTCCTCCTCACCTAGTGCCCACTGCAGACCCCAAATGGGCAGAAACCCCACTCACTCATCATTTTGTCCTTTAGTAATGATCTAGTTCACCATGTGAATTTAACAGAACCCAGAGTCTGTGACAATAGGCCTTTTGCTTCAATCAATTTCATGTGTTTTTAATACTTTCATCACTTTTCCTTTTAAAAAAATCTCGTGCAAGGGATTGAGTTCAACCCTGTGTCACCCCAAATACCTTAAAGGTGTTGATTTCCACATTGTCACCCTCCTTTGTTAAACCAAAATCAGTCCTGCTTTAATTTAATGTAGTGCACTGTCACAGGTGCTGTGGTTCAGGAGCTCCTGCTCTTCCTCAGCTCCCATCCCCACCGTAGGGATGCCGGGGAGGGTGGGCACAACGCTGCTGGGGAGCTGATTCAGCCATCACACTCGAATCTGCTGCAGCGTGCAAGCTCCCAGAGGAGTGGTCACCCCTTGTAGGACAAGCTCCCCTCGTGCAGGGCTGGGCTGTGGAAGAGCCCCCATGGCCGGCGCTGGGAAGGGAGCAAACTGCTTCCATGCTTCCGCGGGGGCTCGGGCAGGGACCCCGCAGAATTACTGCTCTGGTTGGCACCATGGCCATCCCCAGGCACTGTTCTGGCCCCGTATGTGGAGGGATGAGTGCCATGCTCAGTGCATGAGCAAACATCCACCCCTGAAATGATGGGGAAGGGACTGCAGCACCCCAGGGAGAAAAGCAGGCTGCTATGGCCAGCTGCCCCAGACAGAAGGTGAGCAGGCAAACCATCCCTCTGCCAGCATGGCAGCAGCAGCTCCCCTGCAGCACAGCTCCCCGCTGCGTCCCACTGCACAGTGCTCTGGGAACTAATGAAGGAGAGAAACCAGCCCCATCTCTGCCAGCCCCCGGAGAGGGGCTCAGCCACGGGGCGGCTCGCGAGGCTGTCGTGGCTGTGCCGGAGCGGAGCCTTAGCCCAGCACAAGGTGGAACGGGAGAGATGTTGCAGAGCGAGGGGGTCCCTTCACCTTGATTTGCAAGAGAGCACATCTACTCATGTGTTGGAGGTGGGTTGGATCCTGTCATCTGCCATCCCCGTGGGGAAATGCAGGGGCACGGCCTCAGCATCACGCTTTTGACTTCAGGGCTGGACACACACGCACACAAACTATCCAGTGAATTTTCATTTCAAAAGCGAAGGTGCTCCTTTGGGTTAGGTTTTAGCTACAGAGGGATTTTCAAGATTATGATTTTCAATTTACTCCTGTGCAGATCTGCCCCTTGCTGCCTGTGCGCAGTGGGTGTAGCAGCAGCTGAGAAAGCTCCTGCCGCCCATGCCTGGTGTGTATGTTCGTGGCATTTCATTCATTCTGTCGCAGTGTGACAGGCTGAGGGTCCCAGCTGTTAATTCCTCTCTCTCTGCATTTGAATGGGTCCAGTCCCACCTGAGCCATGCCAGCAGAAACACTTACTGTAAAAGTACAAAGGCGAGGAAAAATAAGTTGTTAAAATATTGACCCTGAAGTACAGAGTGAAGTAAAGAGTCTCCTGAGAAAGCCTCCGCCGCTGCATTTTATTAAACAAAAATAACTTGGAGAGTCAACTATTTGTCCAGATCCCAGTGAAAAGATTTGATTTTTCTTCCTTCTCTTGCTGCTGCTCCCCTTACTTCCCTGTGAAGGAAGGAGGATAAAAACCCCTCCGCAGGTTGGCAGGAGGGTCCTGTTCAGACCTGGGCCCAGGGTCCAGGCGAGGGAGCTGACAGCTGAGGCTGCTGCTGGGTCTGGTGGGGGAGAAGGGACAGGAGCAAAGAAAGCCAGAGAGGCTTTCTGCACCACGCAGCGACCCACCTGCGTGAAGTCACCTGGAGGACTGACATCTTAAGCTCCAGAACATTGCATACACCTTAACTTTATGCCGACAAAACTGAAACAGAGCTAAACAGATATTTGGCCCCACTCCCTGTAAATTTTCATAATCTAAATTGGTTTCGTCTTTGCTTTTGTTTTGAGACCATCATCTATTTTAATAAACTGGGCGTTGCTTCAAGAGAAACCTCAGGAGTTGAAGGACCATTGAAACTGAGGAGCACAGGTAGTCAGAGAACACATTGGCTCAAGACTGAAACCAGTACTTCTTGGCAAGAATAAGTCATTACTGAAATAGAACCTAATCTTAATAGATTTTTAAATGCATTTTTCTAAAGGTATAGAGCCCGAGAATTAAATGAGTGTTATCGATATGCTAAAGTGTACTGGTCTCTCTAGATTCTCCCCAAGATCCCAGAGATGACACATGTGACACTGGGAGTTTAATTGCAGGCACCCACCGGACACCAGTCTATTTTAGTCCTCAGGGTCATTTCTTGCCCTTCCATGGAAATACCCATTTTAAGTCTCTTTGCTTCCAACCCCTCAGGCAGCCCTTAGTCCCACTTCCAGCACTTGGAGGATCTCTTTGAGGAGTGTGATGACAAAGAAAGTGATTGAAGATTCCTTGAGAGGTCATCTAATCCATCTGGTTATCTAGTCCGTTCAGGAGGATCAGTTCTACCTTACAGATATAAAAACCTCAAGACCCTCTCAGACTGCAGGACATTTAGTTGCTAAGCCGGGGTGAGAGGATTGTGAAGATTTCCTGGAGGATGACTCCAGCAGAGAAAATCTGTACCCCAAAGAGAGCTACTAGCGCTAGGCATAAAAAGAATAAGGAGCAAAACCAAACACAGTGAGGCATCCTGTAATTTCTCCGTCGTTGCAACACCCCTTGGGATACAGCACCCACGCAAGTTAAGGCAGCTTTCCAGGGTTGCTGCATCCACACTGCACACTAAATGAGCCCTCAGGATCTCAGGTGTAAGCTTCTCACCTTGCACCAGCACACCAACAAACGGGGACAGACAGCAGCACAGTGGCTCCTCAAGACCCAGTAAATGTGCATGAAATGTGGGCAACAGGGCAACCAGCATGAAAGCCTTCAAGCCTGCTCAGAAATGCGTCTTTCGGCCCAAAGTGAGCAAAAATCAGGCAACTCTGAGAACGTCAGGTATATCAGGACTCTGACAGAAAGGAGGACTCCTCTGCAGCTTAACATTGGAAGGTTACTTTGGAGAAATTATTGAATACTGTGCTGTACTCAGGATGTTCAGGACGTTGAAGTGAGGTTTGGTCTGTTCCTTTATTAAATAAGGGGTCATTAGTATGTTTTCAAAGTACTCGAGCACCAACACAACCTGAGACCTGAGGTGGGAGGTTGGTCTTCCTTTCTCACACATCAGTCAGACAAACCAAGACCTTAGCTGCAGTTGTCTAGGTGGAAAGCATGGCAGCTACCTAATTCTTGGTCATCAGCTTAAAATATCAAATTTCAAGACAAAGCCCATGCATTATTTTTGCCACTGCTTTTCAAAATGGACAGCTGCTTCCAGATCAGTAACAGCACTTCTTTTTCTCTATCCAGATTATTTATTTCCTAAATTCTCTACCAAATCTTTTTAGTCCGCATATGCAAGAATTGCAAGATTTTTATTTAGGTGACAGATAGAACTAACATCCCTAGGAAAGCCGGGCAGGCCATGCTCCTACAGTCATTAGCACACAGGTTTCCATGGGCCAGTGTTGCCTGAGACTTTGCAAACAATGTCTGGAGAAGCTGAGACACATGTTGTAAAGGAGCAGCCTTCCTCCTCGACATGCAGCATTTCCAATAAAAGGACATTCTGTTCTCTGCCACCTCTAAAAACAAAACTGATTCTGTCATCTCCGTGTTTGTTTTGCTACATCTGATATTTTTAGATTGTTTATTAAATACAGTGGCGATTTAATTGAGTGTTTGTAATAGCATGAGATCTGTGCCATTGGCTTGAGCCAAGAGCCAGAAGGCATGCAGAAAAACTTCCCCCATCAAGCTACTGTTGCCAGGCCTCCATGGCTTGCAGAAAATCCCTTTCCAATCACCCAGTACTAAACCTCCTTAAAGTGATTCCCCCACTACTACCACCAACTGGGATGAAACTGCTGTGAGAAGCTGTCTCAGAGCCTGAACTCATACACAAAGGAGCTCTCTTTAATTTCACCACAGTTGTCAAAAATTGTTTTACAAACCCTACTATAACCACAATATAGAAAAAGTTATGTAAAAATCTCTCCTCGCTGCATTTACCAAAATCACAGGACTCGTGCTGCAGTACTACAGCACTGGAAAGTATTACAAGGAAAGCTCATTATATTTCATTGCAGAAGTGACCAAACATGAAATGTATACAGCAAAACAAGTTAAAGGAAAAATCTTAAAAGATCCCATTTCAGGAAAGTGAAAATGCAGGGGTTTCTGTCTGGAAACCAAAAGGATGACTATGTTTATGTAGTTATATTACTAAAACAAATACCAGAAAATACAGAAATCAGCTTTGTAATAATGAAATAAAGTCATTGCAAGTTAAGTGAATGCTTACACAAAATACACTAAACAAAACCAATGTTAAAATTACAATATTAAGACAGGAATCCACAAAAGGGGAATTCTAAATTAAGTCAACTCTTTGCCTAATACAATTCTTATAAAAAAGGACTCTTTTCCAGAAAGATACCTTATTCCCAGCATAGTTTCTCTCTCTGTACCATGTCATAGACTAAGAATGAATAAATAATTATTTACACAGTTTAAGTAATGGTCCCCATCTCACATTCACAGATAAATCTGTGGGACTCAAGGCATCCAGCAATACAAAAAACGACCAGGACTGCATTTCCCTCCAGCTGCCTCTCTTCCCGTTACCCTCCACAGTCCAGAGTCACTTCTGCAGGGGAATCGGTGACATTTCTGCCCCCCTACGCCATGATTTCCCCAAAACCAAAAGCAAATAACAAGCAACAGAAACTGTGTCACCTTTCTCTCTGCTGCTGCTCTGCCACACGGAGAAGACGGGTGGCTGCCTTATCCCAGGGGACAGCGGAGTTTGTCTCAGCCCCCTCTTCCAGGTGCTCCTCCTCGCCCACCCACGGCAGAGGTTCACGGCTGAGCTGGGAAGTGACACGGACGCTGGGGTCCCTCTGCGAGGCTCGAGGCCATCCACGGGAGATGTACCCCGACAGCACCAGGGGAGACCCTGAAGAGAGAAACAAGAAGGAGCGAGCCAAGGACCCCAAGCGCCACGGTTTCACTGAAATGAAGAGCTGTGATAGGTGACATCTTGCCCCTTTAGAAGGCTGAGCACTGGCCGGAGCTAACAGCGCTAGCAGTCCTCAGCCACCACTGAAAAGCTGTGCCTGGCACTTGATGGAGCAGTGCCTGGCCAGGAGGCGAGGGAGCCCAGCGAGCCAGAAAGGGAACCCGAACCAGCAGGGGTGAAGGAGCTGGTTCCCAGGAGGTCATCAGAGTGATGGTGGAGAGGAAAGGGAGCAGAATGGGGACAGAAGCGACAGCAAATGCGTGTGCCACGTGCCACGGAAAACACAACAGAAGGCCAGTGGGAGAAACGTGATAGAGGAAAAGATGGAGGAGGCAAAAATTGAGGAAAATAAGGGGAAGTGAGGAAAAGTACTTACTCCACTTGAGGAGGAGGCGCTGGCCCCTGGAAGCCTCCCAGTTAGACAAAGGCCTCCTTCTGTTTCCAAATTCCCCATACAGAAATGTGGACAAGAAAAACTTCCCTCCTGCTCCTGACAAAGCAAATTGGGACGTGCCCTATAACAAAAGCTACCGAAGCAAAGTCAGCATTGGCACAAGAACAAATGGGTCTGAGCTGCCCACGGATGTGTTTAAGGTGGCAGGAAGAAGCCTGGCTCTGGGGTGGCAAAGAGCTGGAGCCCAATTCAGTATGAGAGAGCGAGCTTGCTGCGTTCATTAAAGGGATTATGTAGTGCGATCACTTTCGAAGACGGGCAACTTGTTTCAACAGTCCCAAAGACCCCCACCTCTGTTCCCAAATCCTGCTGTGCTTTCCACAGCTCACTTTTGCCCACTTCACGTGCTTTCATGGAGCCAGCAGCACCACACTTCAAGAATGAAGAACAAAGGCGCAAAACAAATTTGGGAGCTATTAATGTAGCGCCATACATATTTATACTCTTACACGGATAAGACCAACTTTTTCACTTAGGAATATAGGGCCAATCAAAGGCTGCAAGAGCACATACAGATCCATCCCAAAATAATGATTTCTGTGTATTTCAGGAATGAGCCTTAACTATACTTAGGATAAGGAATTTGTCTTCATGTGATGAGCCTGACCTCATCATCTACAAAGGGAGAGGTCGTGAGCAAGCAGTCACTCCTCTCGTCTGCAAGGCCCAAATCACCAGTATATTTCATATATTTAAAGTACTGATCTGGAACCCATTGCCGTAGCGTCTGGGTGCCTCATAGTCTGCCTAAAAATAAACAAATATCATTTACCCAAGTGGGTGACTCATAAGCATACACGAGCCCCTTCTAGTGTGAGCGGGTTGGCTGGTTAATTAACTTGAAGTCTGACTAACAGATGATCCTAATATTATCCTCAAACTACCATCAAGCCACTTTAATTAGTATATGTAAAAGGACCAAAGTGCACAGAGTAGTAAACTAATCTCCCCTTCTCTCTTACATTATGTGCTAGAAAAAATTCCCTGTTCTCACACCAGAATTCATCCCTATTGACAAGAAGCACTCATAGAGCTCTTTCCATTCAAAATACAGGCAGAGGGGCAGGTTTTGATCATAGCACCAGCAAAAAACCTTCACCAAACCATGAACCCAGCATAAAACTCAATCCACTCTTCAGATACTTACCACAGTGCTCATGTAGACCATTGTTGATATTTCTGATAACTTAACTTCTCCTTCCATCCTCTCCACACTCCTAAAAAATACAGTCTATTGAGACTATATTTCTGAATCTTGGCCTCATGGGAAATATTTTTTTTAAATAATGTAAATGTTTCAAAATAAAAATATTTTTGAATGAGTGGAGCCCTCTGGGATCTGATAAGTGGTTTATTTCCTTTAGTTTAGTTTTTTTGTTTTTAAAAACTCTTGTTTACATATAGGTATATACAAACACACAAGAAAAAAAATATATCTTTATATACATACACATACACAGAGATACACAGGACCATGTGGAACTCTTTTTGCCAAGCCAGACTCAGCCCAGGGAGAGCTTTTCTGGCAAGCACAGGAACCTTTGCTATCCTTTGACTCAGTAGCAGCCCTCTCACTGCCAGCAACATTAGTTTAGTTATCATTCAAAAACTCAGAAAAAAAAATCTAGGCTTAATTTCTATAAAAAAACACTGTACTCAATTGTTCCAAAAAAAAAAAAAAAAAAAAAAAGCTGGTTTGTTTTTTTTTTTAATAAAAAAAGAACAAATATTGTGGCATCTCTCCATGAAGTGCTACAATTGGCCACCTTTAAAAGACGCTTGAAGTTTAAACCCATGTTATACTCCACATGCTGGTTATTTTCCAGTCCAAGCAACTCCTCTGGGCTGGAGAGGGAAGGAAGGGGGATCCCGGCAGACACTCCTCATCTATAATCAGCAGCTATAATTGCACTTTGCTTTAGCTGGCTCTAGCATTTTCCAGGCTAAACCCCACTGTTCTCATGCAGGGAAAACTCTTTGGAAGTCAATACAGAACTGCTGCTCTGAAGTCAATGAGAATTGACTTTTTCAGCCTGTCTGCAGGTGCCAGCCACGGTCGCTTTTTGACATCCCTGCATTACTCCGGCTTTGTGTGTACCAATGAGTGAAGTTGCTCCCCGGTGACTAACATGAAGAGACTTATTACTACCAACTGCTGCAGGAACTCTCTCTTTGCTCAGGAGATAAAAATGTGTGTTTTGGAGCCAAAGAACCAGACAGCCAGAGTAAAACATGCTGAAGCTGATGAGGAAACTCCTACTCCAGCTTCAGCGGGACCAGGAATTCGCCCTCCTCAGCGTGGCTAATGGGTATGTGCCGTGGCTGGTGAGGACGTGCCGCCGTGCCTCTGGGTGCTGTGGCTCCTTCACAGCTGGCGCCCCGAGGGTCGGCTCTGCCGCCCCGCAGCACACGCACAGAAACATCCCGGGTAAGGCCAGAGCTCACATCGCGAAGCGGTCGCGTCTCCACATCAAGCCCAACATTGCTCTCTACAGAAATATATGCTGGCCAGTGCCCCATCTAATGAATGTGAAAAACACCTGGTCTCATAACCACTTCTGTGGGCTCCGTGGAGCTGAACTCAGATGATTCTTTAGGGCTAAATGCACTTTTCTTGGCATAGCTACTTAAGTTTTCTACCAGCATTCCAAAATGTATGAAAACAAAGATAATTAAGGTTTTCACCTTACTTTATTGACTATTGCAAAGCAATGTTCACCAGTGCCTGCATAATTATCTAAGTGAGATAATACAACAAACACCTTTCAAGCCACAGGACTGCATCAGTGGATGAGCTGTGCGTATTACTTGTACCACGAAAAATGCTGTTAAAGTAAGTAGGGCTTTGTTCTATGTTATCCTTCAAAAGTTATTTTTTTGTAAGAGTTATGAAAGTACATGGAAAAAAAAAATAATAATAATGGAAAAATGTGCTGTAGAGGCAAACACAATGCTCCCTACAAAAAACAGCCCAAAGAAGAAGAAAAAAAAAAATAATCCCAACATTGTTTCATGCAGATTTTGTTCCAGGGAAAATAATTACCATGGATAGTGCAAATAGGCAGTTCTCTGACCTGACCAGAGTCTCAATAAAGACAAGAAAATCTTAATGTCGTGGGGTTTTTTTCCTTTTAAGATGCTTGTGAATTTCATGGGATATTTTCAGCCTGATGTTGGGAAAGTGGTAGAAAATACAAACAATTTCACATGCTACACCCGACCCTTTTCTCTCCACTGAATGCTTTTCTGGATATGTAATTGCAGTTTCTGTTTGACCTTCCGCCTAACTCTAGAAAAGTAACACCCAGAGCTACCAGGGAAACAAAATAGCTGATTTTACATCAGTGTAGCAGCAAAACTGATTATACGGACCACATTCTCAAATTTATCCAGTGAACCACTAGAAAAATAGAGACATTTTAATTATCTGAGTAAAACTAGTGTGATGCTGAAATTGGTAGCATCCTTTCAGCATTAGCAAAGGCTGCCAGTTTGTGCTGAGGGTCAGAGTCTTCTTTATCTCTACGTAATGGGGTTTTCTCATTTAATGAAGGTACCTCTGCCACTGAGCTGGGGTTTTTTCTACTTCTGTTAAGGAAAGCAAGAGATTAAATTAAAAATTAGAACCCCCCTGGCACAAAAACAAAGGATGACTTTAAAAGACATTTAAACTACAAGCTTATTTCTGTCTAAAATACGTAATTTGTGCCAATGTACTGTGTGCTGTGACATTACACTGCAGTAAAGTGAATTCTGCCATGAATGCTACTAAAGAAAAATAGTTTATATTGTAACTCCCACCTTGGGGTTTGTGTCTGGATTTGTTTTCTGAACAGGCATTTTTATTATTATTGTTATTATTATTACTTTAAAGCTCCTATGTAAAAAACATCTGTAGTTGTTTGTTTGGGGTTTTTTCTTCTTAACTTCAGCATCTAAACAGAATTCATCCCTTTTGTTTGAGTAAAGCCTTGTGGTGGGGTAAGAGCCCATGCCCAGGGGACTGCCCCTAGCAGCATCCTCGGGGCGAGCCTTTCTCTTTGGTTCCCTGAGACCATGGGGGAAGAGCTCCTCCCTTCTCCCTCACCGTCTCTCTGTTCCAGGAGCCCAGAGGTGATGCTTCCATATGAGTACCTCATCCACTGCTCGTCTGCCAAGCAATTCCTACAGGATGTAGAGGACATGGACTTGGCCCCTCTCTCCTTTGTCTATATCCTGAAGCAAGGAGAGAAATGAGTTATATCTTCAGATTGTGCAGAAATGTGCTCCTGTAAATATGGTTACGCTCCACCCATGTAGCACACACATGCTCTGGACTGTTTCAGCTCATGGAGATCAGACTTTTCCAAGCAGAAGCACTTACCAGGTGCTACACGTTGATCGCTAAACTAGATCAGAAATAGGATCTAAAGTCTATAGAGTTCTCAGAGTCCAGAGAGCTTGGCACATGTTTTTTTTTTTTCAAGATTCTAGTAACAGAGGGGCTTGGAACATCTTGTGATCATCTGGCCATGAAGAAAGGACTACCCTATACCACTGCTGCTAGTGATAGCATTGTTGGTATCACTGATGGCAGGCAGATGGATTTCAAAAATCCCTTCCCAGCTCTGGTCCCTGTGATTCAGTAACCAGCTGATCCTGCAACACCCGAGCCAGCCCTGTAAGCCTCAGAGGCACGTCTGCTCTGTGCCAGAAGTACATGTGTCTGGGTGAGACAGTTCACATTGCCCTGCCCCACTCTCCTATCACAGCCCTGAAATACCTGCTGAGCACCACCAGCACCAGTGCAACTGTGTCGGTGACGACACTGGCTTGCAAGCAGCAGCACATAAACTCAGACTTTGAGCACAATTCTGAGGTGTCTCGGTAGCTTGGCAAGAACCGTGGCTCAAGCTCTCGCACCCATCCTCCTTCTGAGATGCAAGAAGTACAGTTTGTCATCACCCTCATCTCTACCAACCTGTCATCATCCAAATTTTACTTCCTTGGGGTCCTTCCCCAGGCATATCCAGGCTGTTGTTACTTTTCTGCTCCACAGACCTACCCACCAAGCAAACTGGCAGGGGCACGTCCAGGTCCGGGCAGGCATCTCTCTGAAATTCATTGCACTGGGTTTTGGCATAGGCAGCCAAACCGAGCCTGATGAATGCCAGGGACATCTTGGTATTTATCACCTGATTATTCCTGCATCAGTGCTGGTCAGCATCTTCAGGCTACACCAGGGGCTCTCTTGAAAGACTTGTCCCTAGGGGACAGCTGAACAGCAGCTACTCCACTGTTCACCCCTCACCTCCCAATGCTCTGTGCCATGATGAGGTCCAACACAGACACTGGAGAGGCTGTACAGCCCTTTAAACAAATCCTGAGTCTCAGCGTCATGGAGCCCTACTTGGGCTCTTCATACAGTAAAACAGACAAGTGCAATCAAACAAATAAACAAGTAATACTGTGCACAGCAAAATTAAGTTTTGTTTTCTACAAACAACATCTTAAAGGTGAGGCTGGATTCTTCCCAGATACTCAGGGAAAGATGGGTTGCTGCCCCTTCCCTGTCCTAGGAGTGATAACACGTCTACGTATCCACAGAACTGAAGGAGATCGATACTTCCGAGGTCCCTGAAATTTTGTCTGACTTGGTCAAATAAGTTCAAAATCAGAGGGGGACAGAGTGATAATATGAGCACATAATCTCACTCTCATAGCAACCATGTAGCCCAAGTGGCACCCCCTTCCCTGCAGCTCCCCATCCCTCTGCAGGAGCCGAGGGCAGGGCAGCAGGACACGTGCTGCCCAGACCTTCTTACTGTGGCAAGTTCTCAACTCCTGCATGGTGAACAAGAGCACAGCCCAGGAAACGCCTGTGTCAAACACCTCAGATGGAACAGCTCTAAGTGGGTGAGTAACCATTGCTATTTGTTCCTGCCGGCCCACCAATACCAGAGGGACTGTTCACAACAGAGATATGGACCCCCATTCACTGCTACACAAGCAGGAACGTCCAGCAAAGGCTGGGGTGGTCAGATAGAGACAATCAGGCTTCGAACCACCGCCACGGAGCCTCCTGGAGCTCCTCTGACAAAGCCCTTGGTTTCTGTGGTTTAGCTGTTCTCATGAAGATAAAACTACTCCCTCTCACCTGCTTGTGCTTGTCTGGCTCTCACAGTAACTGCAGAGGTTCAAAAATCATGTGGGGGGCCACCCCAAAAACCTGGGGTTT